TTATATATTTATATAAAAAATTTTTTTTTAAATATTGCATAATCATTATAAGTATTATTTTTTAATAATTTATTATAACTATAAAATATTTCAATAATAACGAATAATGTTATTAACATATAATAATAATTATAAGTATTTAAAAGTTTATTGAATTTCAACACAAAGTAAATTACAAATAATATTTATTTTTATTATAATAATAATAAAATATAGATTTCTTATTATTAATTCTTACTATAAGTTATGTAATTTATATAATTTACAATTAAAATAAAATCTAGAAGTTCAATAACATTTATAAAAAAATTACTAAAATTAAAAATAAAAAAACTAAATTAATTAAAAATTATATATATTTATGATAAAATTAATATAATAATAATAATAATAATAATAATAATAAAGGAGGCACAGTGGTGTAGTGGTTAGTGTGTAGGGCTATGTAGTGTAATGGAGAGTAAGATCTATAGTTCGAGCCCCGATGTGGTAAAGCAATTTTTCTGAAAAAAAAAATTGTTTTAACTGTGCTTCCCGTCCCTGCCCAACCAACGCTGTTTAGGACGGCCAACTTAAGTAGTATGGGGAAAGCGGGGTGCTAAGTGAGGACGAGTTTCTGCCCGACCCGGGTATCGGTACTTCGGTATCGGTGCCCACCTGGGGGTACCCGCAAGGGTGCTCCCACCCGGGGGTGCCTGTAAAAAGGTGCCCCCACCCCGAAGGGACGTCCGCAAGGATGTCCCTTCACCCTTCGAGTAGTTACTCGTCCTCACACGCAATGGCCACTTTTGTTTCAAAAAATAAAAATCCTATTTCAACAAACACATGTTAGTGGTGAGAAATGGGTGGCAATAGACACATGTTAGTGTTGAGCTTTCTCTAGGGACCGGGACCCCGTAAAAAGGCCACAAAATATATAAATATGATTACACGTAGTCGTAGGAATAACGGGGGGTGTTCGGGAGGTACCCTCTCAAATAAATCCCGCGTTCAGCAGGTAGGCATTGACTGCAGTTCGTTAAGTATGCATCATATCCCACGCAGTGATGTGCTATGCGGGCAAAGCTGTGATGTAATGCGACCGCAGACTAGTCAACAAAATCAGACTAACCTCCAAAATGTTTCAGTTCAAGCTGGTTCTCAGCAACAACTGACCAATTTGGTTGACAAATCGCAAAAGCGCATGAGATGGACACATGAGATGAATACCTTGATAATGCGCGAATACTACAGATCAACTCGACTCGAAACAAATATGACTGATTACAGAAACCAAATATACTTAGCATTCAAACAAAAATATCCAGAACTAAATGTAACGGAACAAAGAATTGCAGACCAAAGGCGATTCTTAGCAAAGAATAATAAAATATCCCCGATTGAATTACAAGAAATCAAACAACAAGTGGCACATGAACTATCATTAAATGAAACAACTGAATTAAATACCACAGTAGAAGTAGTGCCAGAAATAGAAGAGACACCTACAACAACAGATAACATAAACAATACAAATGATGAAATAAACAGAATAACAGCAGAAAATGAACTAAAAACATCTTTAGAACAATATAAAGACTTTGAAATAGAATTCAGACCTAAATTACCAAAAATAAGAAGTGGCATTAAAACAAGATCTACTATAATAACGATAAATGATATACTTAAAGATTACATCGAAGAAAATATGTCGTTGAGCGCAATTAATACAATAACGTATTGTGCAGCAGTAGCAGTATCAAGACTCTTAGGCTACAAAATAGAACACATGTCTACAACAAAACCAAATCAAGAAAATGTAATACCTAAATGGCAAAAGCGAATAGAGACACGGATAGAAGGGAAAAGAAAAATAATTGGAAGAATAACGCAAGTGTTAAATGGAAACAAATCAAAAAGACTTAACCAATCATTAAAAGATATATACCGATCATTACAGACAAAACCTGGAAAACCTGAATTTGAATCCATAATCCGAAATTACAACGACACATTAAAACAAACAGTTCAAGCACTATCACAAAGAATTAGAAGATATAAAATACAAAGCGAAAGACGAAAACAAAATACAATGTTCTATAATAACGAAAAAATGTTCTATAGAAATCAAAATAAAATAAATTCAAGCAATAATAACAATACACCACAAATAGATGAAATAGAAAACTACTGGAAAGAAATCTGGAGTAACCCAAAGGAATATAAAGAATCTAATTGGATAAATGATATTGAAGATGAAAATAAAGAAATACCACATATGACTTCAGTAAATATAATTAAAGATGACTTAACCGAAGCCCTCAAGAAATCCCACAATTGGAAAAGCCCAGGACAAGACAAAATACACAACTTCTGGTATAAACACTTTACAACAGTTCATCAACCAATGGCAATAGCAATGAATAAAATAATACAAACAGGACAAACCGATGACTTCCTCACTTCCGGAATAACATATCTACTCCCAAAAACAGAAAATACATCAGATCCCAGCAAATATAGACCAATCACTTGCCTAACAACAATGTATAAAATTCTAACATCCATAATATCAACAAAAATATATAATCATTTAAGTAACAACAACATAATAGCTGAAGAACAAAAAGGCTGTATAAAACACTCAATGGGCTGTAAAGAGCAATTAACAATAGACAATATCATAACAATAAGAGCTCGTCAAAAACATAGAAATCTTGAAATGGCATACATAGACTATAAGAAAGCATTCGATTCAGTCCCTCATAAATGGTTATTAAGAGTGTTAAAACTATATAAAATTGACAACACATTGATAAACACATTAGAAAATATGATGAAAAAATGGAATACTAAATTGTGTGTCAATACAAATAATGGAACAAAAATAAGTACAGAAATCAAAATAAATAGAGGAATATTTCAAGGAGATTCACTCAGTCCTCTGTGGTTCTGCTTAGCCATAAACCCACTGTCATCACTACTTAAAAAGCTAAAAGGCATAAATCTAAAATCAAGTGATACAAAATATAATCTAACACATCTACTATATATGGACGACTTAAAACTATACGCCGAAAAAGAATCTGATTTAAATGCAATGCTAAAAACAACAGAAACTTTCTCCAATGATATAAATATGGAATTCGGATTAGATAAATGTGCTATAATGAAACTGAAAAGAGGAGTCTATTCTGAAAGAAATCAATACGAAACTGATAACGGATATATAAAGGCACTAGAAAATGGAGATATATATAAGTATTTAGGAATTAAGCAAATGCATAAATCTAAAATGACAGAAGTTAAAGAAGAAATAAAGAAAACATTAAACCAAAGAATAATAAAAATACTAAAATCTCAACTAAACTCAAACAACAAATTCAAAGCCATAAACACTTGGGCTATACCTGTACTGACATACTCGTTCGGAATAATAAAATGGAGTAAAACAGAACTTGAGACCATTGAAAGACATATAAGGCGACAACTTACAATGTTTGGACTACACCACCCTAGAAGTTCTGTAGCACGACTGTGTGTTAGTAGAAAGCATGGGGGTAGAGGGTTACTAAACATTGTAAGCCTTGAAGCCAAACAGCGAGAATTGCTGAGAAAATACCATCAACAAAAATGCAATGTCTCAGAGCTCCACAAAATAACAGCAACACTTGATAACAACTACACACCTCTAAATCTCAGCAATAATGAACATCAAATAGAAATACAAAATGAAAAAGAGAGGATTAACACGTGGGCCTCAAAAGAACTCCACGGTAGATACAGAGCAGAACTCAACCAAACACACGTAGACGAAGAAATGTCTACAAAATGGTTGAAGTACGCCGGTCTTCATGGAGAGACAGAGGGGTTCATGATGGCAATACAAGATCGAGTGATTCCGACACGAAACCATCAGAAATACATCCAAAAGCTAAATATACCAACAGACAAGTGCAGGATGTGTCATATGGAGTCCGAAACAATAGAACATATACTAAATGGGTGTAAAGTACTCACAAACACCGAGTACCTAAGCCGTCACAACCAAGTAGCCAAAATCATACATCAGGAATTGGCAATAAGATTCGGACTAACCAAAGAACCATTACCATACTATAGATACGAGCCACAAAGTGTAATGGAAAGCAACAGAGCCAAGCTCTACTGGGATAAAGAAATAAGAACAGATAAGACTGTGGCCCACAACCGCCCAGATATAGTACTAGTAGACAAACATCAAGATAAGGCGTACATAATAGACATAGCGGTCCCACTAACACACAAACTACAGGACACGCATAGTGAGAAACGCCGAAAATATACAGACTTGGCCTATGAGATCAATAAAATGTGGCGCATTAAGAAAGTTGAAATCATACCTATAATCCTGTCATCAATGGCCGTAATACCGAAAAATCTGGCCCTAAGTTTGGAATCACTGGAAATCAGAAAAACTAAGATCTATGAAATGCAAAAAGCAGTGATACTTCAGAGTTGTAGAACAGTCAGAAAAGTACTAGACTTGAGTTGAGTCTAACCAGTCGTGTCTCTGCCACCAAAAGTGGCCGACACAACTGTGATCACACCGGAACAACCGTGATATACAAAGATAATAATAATAATAATAATAATTACTATTAATAATATTTAGTAATAATAACAATAAACGCAAAGTTTATATTCACTAATTAGTAGTTTTTATTCATAGATATTAAAGTAATTATTTTTAATTTACAACAACAACAACAATAATTATTATTAAACTTAATAAAGACATTTAATACAATTAATAATTTTGTTTAATTGACCATGATCAGTGATACCATTGAATGTTATCTGTACCGATCTATAAGATTTAATCTGTAAATTAAAATTTTTACTTAAAAATCTATATAAATTTTATTAATATTGTAATGAGTAGATTTTATCATTACTGTTATAATTATAATATATCCTATTCACTATAGTATTTAAATATTATTTTCTTAGCATTGCCATTTATAACTGGAAAGTGTTGATTATTTAGATGTTTTATGAGAATTTTGGGGGTAAGATACTCGCTTTACTTTCCATGCAGTGATTTCTCGCAAATCACTGGAATGGCCACCACTATTGGCACAGTACTCCTGTAGTGGTTTATGTTGTCTTAATTGTACATTGGGCACAATATTAGCCTTTACTACACAATTATTAATACAATCTATGTCTGATTGATCGTAAATTAAGACATTACTACTTTGCGGACCAATTATATAAAAGGTATTATCTCTGGTCTTTAGATTATTTAATTCAATTTGGCTTTTACTATCAAACGAAACACTATTCAATGTTAAAACAGACTCATTGTTTGAGAGTTAAGACTCGAAGTTTGTACCACTCGAGTCTGATCTGAAGCTCTGAGACCAGTAAAGACTATTTTACTAGTTTGGTCACTAACTACACGTGACACAACTATAGTATATTGAAGACAGGACGATACAGTGTTATCAGCATCCATACAATGGCTGGCTAAGTCGCAACACTTGCACTAAAACAAACAAAAACCGACATTCAATGACAACAAATGTCTGGTCGCAATTATAAACTGGTAACTAAAAAATAACGATCGACAAGCTGGCCGTGCACTACCAACGATTGCCAACGAGAGAAGCCTCAAAGCCTCCTTCTAACCAAAACATGCAACTCAATACCCAATCTATTAGTAAGACTGAGTCTAATGGTCAGTACCATCACTCGGTACTACCGTCGGTAAAACCGGCGTATAGTCTATTCAATTACCCACTATAGGATAAGTAATTCACACACACATTCACTCAAACAGCCGATAATTACAACAATCAATCAAACTACTGGATAAGTGGTTTAATGTTTGGACAAGGATTCAGATGAACGCCACTATTAAACAAAAGAGAGTCATAGCTAGTGATGGCTATGATGTGAGAGGGGATGCAACTGTGCTATTGCTGTGCCAGTTATGTGACATATGGTTAGTTCTCAATTGATTGAAATGGACTAGACTCCGGTATATAGCTCTGATGTATAGCACTGGAGTATAGCAGTGATGCCAACAAGTAAATGGTTTTGTGGATAGTTTTACTCTCAAACCAGTCCCCCTTTTCTTTGTCTGTCTGTCAATACTAATTGTGAACTCAGGTTTATCATTGCTATGACATTAATATTAAATTTACATCTGATTTATATTACACTAAAAATTTAAAATTATATTTTTTTTATTTATTTGACAATTAATCAAACATTAAATACAAAAAAACAATATCAGCCATTAATCTAATAAACATTTCAAACATAAATGCAGTCATAAACGAACCAAACATTATATGTTTTATATTTTGTATAAAATATTACTTAATTTTATTTTAACTTAAAAAAAAGTAACAGAAAACACACAATACTGTAATATATGTTTAATGCAGATAAAGTAAATGTAGTAATATATAAGTTTAATTATAGGTATATATATTATATATACTATATCTAGCCAGAACAGTCAGCTAGTGATTGCTATGATGTGAGAGGGGATGCAATTGTGCTATTGTTGTGCCGGCTATACGACATACGGTGTTTTGTGTTTTTTTGGAACAGATGTATATTTAAGTTTGTGTTCACTACCAGTGAGAGACCGGAATAGCATTTGTTATCACATTATAACTGCAAGTATAACAATAGAGAATCACTGGTAGCTCTCTATTGAGCACTGGGGCACCGGTATCATCGTCACAAGCAGCATATACAGTATTGCACACTATACATCTACTTTTTTTTTTAATCTGTAATTTCTTTTTCTGTATTTTGGTTTAGGTTTGTCAGCTGTCTATTCATTCCCCATTCTCCTTTTTACATATATAAACAATTAGTGATAGTATATACGAGCACGAGCACTGTGTTGATTTTGTTGTCTATAGAATAGTCACATGTGAAACCAGGATGTGTTGGGCACCGATATGTTCAAAGTTTCACTACAATGAAATCCCAAAAACTCTGGTAATATTTTATCGACTAACTCAATGTTTCACTCATTATATTGTATATATACTGTATATATAAATAATATATATCGCCTAAAATTTTTTTGCAATATACAGTACAACCGTATTGACAGTCTTTTAAATTACGCTATTATAACAGCATTACTATTATTATTAGCCTATTCTAGTGAATATTAAGAGTTGATTTGCTTTACATTTGGTTTTTTACATATACCTTGATATTGTTCATCACTATTTGCATTATCCTATCGTTTAATACATTTGTAAATAGAAATAAATCGCTATAATTTATATTAATAAACATTGTAACTTAATTCTAATTCTGTCAATAATATTATATTACTTTATTTCTAAAAAAAATAATTTTTATGTTTATTCAATTTATTGACTAATTTATATAATTTTATTTATATTAAAATAAGGTAAATCATATTATTTTCTATAAATAAGTTTTATTTATTATGCTGTAATAACACATTTAAACAATAATTTATATAAATGTATGAATGTTTTTAGTAAATACAATTATATTAGAAAACTTTTAGACTCAAAAAAAACAAATAAAAATATCATTTGTTTGGTAAGTTATGAACAGTACATCATTAATAGTTTATTTTGACTGATGTCTAATATTTATAAGTTCAGTGACTTTAATGAATACATTAGTTATATTATTTGGATAAGACATAGAGTAGCTTATAATTAGTGTCTGTTATTTAACAATAAAAACATATTTAGCAAAATGTTTACAATCAAACATATATGTATATACATATGTATATATATATATATATGCTTATTAATGCTAACTTATAATCATCAATAAAATTACATAACAGCATAAATTACATTTCACATTCAGATGATACCAGTTGTTGTAATTACAATAATTATAATAATTATAATAAATTGTTATTACTATTAAGTTTATATTGCAAATAATTTGTGGAATAAAATTGTAATTTAAATTAATTTTAAAAACATTAATAAGTTTATGCACATTTATATATTTATATAAATTTTTTTTTAAATATTGCATAATCATTATAAGTATTATTTTTTAATAATTTATTATAACTATAAAATATTTCAATAATAACTAATAATGTTATTAACATATAATAATTATTTATTTAAAAGTTTGTTGAATTTCAACATAAATCAGTAAATCATAAATAATTTATTTTGTTTTTATTTTAATAATAATAATATAAAGAATTTTTACTGATTTTATGTACATTTATATACAGGTATTTATATTAAAAATATATTAAAATATATAATCATGAAAATAAGTATTATTGTTTTTAAAATTAATTATCACTAAATATTATGTTTTTTATTGCTAAAATATTTCAATAGTATCAATTATAATAATGTCAATAGTTTATAATAATAACATAAATTATTTAAAAGTTTATTGAATTTCAACACAAAGTAAATTACAAATAATTTATTTTGTTTTTATTATAATAATAATAAAATATAGAATTCTTATTATTAATTCTAACTATAAGTTATGTAATTTATATAATTTACAATTAAATAAAAACTAGATGTTCAATAACACTAATAAAAATTATAATAGACTAATACTAATAATATTATAGTATTAAATTTTTAATTAAGTTAACAATTTATTTAGTTAAATTTATCATACAAAACTAAATTAATTTAAAAATATATATTTTTATGATAAAATTAATAATATAATAATAATTACTAATAATAATATTATGTAATAATAATAATAAGCACAAGTTTATATTTATTAATTAGTAGTTTTTATTCATAGATATTACAGTAATTATTTTTTAATTTACTTAAATAGCAATAAAACTAACTATATTCTTTATTAAGATTAACAAAAAATTTAGTTAAATTAAATCATACAAAATTAAATTAGTTAAACAATAAATTAATAATGTAATAATAATAATATTTAATAATAATAATAATATTTAGTAATAATAATAATATTTAGTAATAATAATAATATTTAGTAATAATAATAATATTTAGTAATAATAATAATATTTAGTAATAATAGATTACAGTAATTATTATTAATTTACGTAAATAACAAGAAAACTAAACTTAATGATGACATTTAATACAATTGATAATATTGTTTAATTGACCATGATCATCGATACTATTGAATGTTTTTAATATTCCGGGTAATTCCTTAAAAAAATCAAGTTGTTTAACAGCTAAATTTAAATCTTTACATGTAACAACTGGTCCAGGTAGTTCACGATCTCTATTAGTAACATATCTAAATAGATGATCAATAGCTTGGTTGACATTAGCATGTAGTTTTAATGGACCCAGACACTTTTTCCTATTGGATTCATTACGTATACAAGCTTGATTCACTCTTTTATCTGAATATATATATATATAAATATATTTATTATTATTTTTAAACAAAAATTAAATAATACATGATTACAATATTTTATTATTTATTATTAATATATTTAAGTACATAAATAATATTTAAAAATATTTTACAGCAAAAATTCTCTAATAGTTCATCTATAGTAATAGATTGACATTTATTGACCATGGTCATAATTGTTAGCATAGACAATACAAACATCACAATCAATTTGATTGATGTCATTGTTACAAATTGTTTATAATTGTTTATATAATTTACAATTAAAATTATTATAAAAACTTACTTAATAACTAATTAGTAAAAATATTCAGATATATTTATACGTTTTCATCAATAGTTTAAAACATAAAAATAAAGGCTTACTGATATTTAAGATTTAATCTGTAAATTTTACTTAAAAATTTTTACTTAAAAATCTATATAAATTTTATTAATAAGTTAAACAATTTATACTGTATTATGTAAATATAATTATAAATTTATGTTTACTATTAATAAATTAATAAACTAATGAAACATTATTTGAATAAATATATTATTAATAATTTATTTAAATATTGTACAATATTAACATTTGTATTTAGAAACTTTAAAAATATAATAAATTAATGTTTTAAAAGATTTATGAGTTTATGTACATTTATATATTTATATAAAAATACATTAAAATATTTTATATAATCATTATAATAAGAATTATTTTTTTTAAATAATTTATTATAACTATAAAATATTTCAATAATAACTAATAATGTTATTAACATATAATAAAAATTTAAAGTATTTAAAAGTTTATTGAATTTCAACATAAATCAGTAAATCATAGATAATTTATTTTGTTTTTATTTTAATAATAATAATATAAAGAATTTTTACTGATTTTATGTACATTTATATAATTATATTAAAAATATATTAAAATATTGTTTAAACATAATAATAAGTATTAATTTGATTTAGGTTTATGTTATCACAATCACTCATTATAAATGAAAAACTTTTATTACTCACACAATTTGTGACATAAATTTCTGTGGGAGCAATGATTATATTATTGAATTTTTTGTACAGTATTTAAATGATTAGTAAACAATTTAAGTCAAAACTACCCAAAAATATGTTTTATGGCACAAATAGGGTATCAATTATAACATTTCTGGTCACTCTCTCACATACCATAAGTACCTAATGACCAACAGTGCTGTCAGTTTGTACAGCAATTGCGCTGATGAAGGACAGAGACAATTACTGTCCGAAACAAATATTGCAATAATTTGTCCGCAATTAAGGCCGAAGACAAAAATCGGCTAAAATTTATGTCACAAATTGTGTGAGTAATAAAAGTTTTTCATTTATAAGTATTAATGTTATTATAATTAATTTTCACTAAATATTATGATTTTAATTGCTAAAATATTTCAATAGTATCAATTATATTAATGTCAATAGTTTATAATGATAATATAAATTATTTAAAAGTTTATTGAATTTCAACACAAAGTATATTACAAATAATTTATTTTGTTTTTATTATTATAATAATAATAAAATATAGAATTCTTATTATTAATTCTAACTATAAGTTATGTAATTTATATAATTTACAATTAAATAAAAACTAGAGGTTCAATAACATTAATAAAAATTATATTAATAATAGACTAATATTATATTTTTTATTAAGTTAACAATTAATTTAGTTAAATTGATCATATAAAACTAAATTATTTTAAAAATATATATATTTTTATGATAAAATTAATAATATAATAATAATATTTACTAATAATCATATTTACTAATTATAATATTTACTATTAATAATATATACTAATAATAACAATAAACGCAAATCTTATATTCACTAATTAGTAGTTTTTATTCATAGATATTACAGTAATTATTTTTTAATTTACAACAACAAAAATAACTAAACTTAATAAAGACATTTAATACAATTGATAATTTTGTTCAATTGACCATGATCATGGATACTATTGAATGTTTTTAAGATTACGGGTAATTGATTAAAAAAATCAAAAGTTTTTGACTCAATATATAAATCTTTACATGTAACAACTGGTCCAGGTAGTCTACGCTCTGCAATAGTAACATATCTAAATAAATTATCAATAGCTTGGTTGACATTAGCATGTAGTTTTAATGGACCCAGACACTTTTTCCTATTTAATTCATTACGTATACATGGTGAGTTATCTTTTTTATCTGATATATATATATATTTATTTTAAAAATAAAATAAAATTTTACATGATTAAAATATTTTCATAATTATATATTTATAGTATATAAATATTATTTAAAAATATTTTACCGCAAAAATTCTCCAATAGTTCATCTATAGTAATAGCTTGACATTTATTGACCATGGTCATAATTGTTAGCATAGACAATACAAACATCATGATCAATTTAATTGAAGTCATTGTTACAAATTGTTTATAATAAAATTTATTATATTAAAGTTATTATAAAAACATATTTAATAATATTAATTAATAAATATATTTAGCTATATTTATACATTTTTAATCAATAGTTTAAAACATAAAAATTTAGGCTTACCGATCTATAAGATTTAATCTGTAAATTAAAATTTTTACTTTATGTTAAATATGTTAAACAATTTATACTGTTTAATGTGAATATAATTAAAAATTTTAAATTAATAAATTAACGAAGAATTATTTAAATAAGTTTATTATTAATAATTTATTTAAATATTGTACAATAAAAACATTTGTATTCAGAAACATTAAAAATAAATTAAAGTTATAAAAGATTAATGAGTTTATACACATTTATATATTTATATAAAAAATATATTAAAATATTGCATAATCATTATAAGTACTATTTTTTATAATTTATAATCACTAAATATTATTATTTTTTTATTACTAAAATATTTACTAATATTAACTAATAAAATCAATAACTTATAATAATAATTTATAGTATTTAAAAAAAATATTGAATTTCAACATACAATAAATGACAAATAATTTTTATTTATATATTTAGTTATTTTATTTATATTTATAATTAAATAAAAACTAGAAGTTCAATAACATTAATAATTATTATAATACTTTAACAAAAAACACAATTAAATAGATCAATAAAACAAATTTAATTAAAATATATATATATTAATAAAAATATGTATTTATTAATGATAATAATATGTACTAACAATATTTAATAACAATATTTAATAAATATATTTAATAACAATATTTAATAAATATATTTAAAAACAATATTTAATAGCAATATTTAATTAAAATGTGTAATTATAATGTGTCTAATAATAATAAGCATATAAATTTATTTAACAATATATATAAATAAAATAATTCAAATATTATATTACATAAATATATATTGATTTTTAATTTCTATTATTAATTGTATTAGTATTAACAAATAGTTTTTGTTTAATAGTTATTAATGTAATATTAGGCTTATATATTTGCCAAACATTTTTCAATTTGTTATTAGATATATAATTTGTTACAAACATTTGACATAAACTATGAATTGCTTTAGTAATAGCATTTGTTAACATTGATATAGAAAATCCAAACCATAGACTCGCAATGCTTGACATAAGAATAATATATTCAATAAATGGTATTTTCAATGATGTTTCAAATATTAAATCAAAATTTCTGGATAAATATAATAGTATTTGTGTTGAATTATTATCATTATTAGGATATGAAAATATATTTGTATTATAAATATAATCTACACAAGGTAAATGTTGGGAACAATAATTTTCACAATCTAAATCAATTAATGCTATGTCACAATTAATTGTTATATTTGATAATTGATAATTTTCATGTTTATATAGTAGAAAATATTTAATTGGATATTTAAAGTTACATTGATGATACATATTTATTAGACATTCACCATAACATTGATTGCTAAATTTATTTTTTGAACAGTCATTATGATTATCAAATTGTTGCCAACGTTTGACTATAACTTTTTGATAATCTAATACATAATCAAAGTTTTTATTTAGCTCAAGTTTTAAACTATGTTCAGCATTAATATCATAAATTTTTGAACTTTTATGATGTAAAATAATTTTCATTTTTTCATTTTTAGTTGTAGTAATTACTTTTATATTGTAAAGTTTAATGTTATCACTAATTAAATTAGTGTTATTTAGCCATTGATGTAATACAGTCAAACAATAGGACACTGAATCGATTGAATGAATACCGCTAACAAAGTTAATGCTATCTCTATACTTATAATATGAAACTAAATAGTGTGATAAATTTTTTAAATTATCAAATTCATCGATAACATTATCAATATTATCATTTTTTCTATCATTCAAATACAATGACTTATCTAAGCATAGGGTCATCGCTGGCGACGATTCACTTGTTGTCGACTCGTATTTGACTTCAGTTGCCACAGAATATGCAAAATATAATGTAGACAAACAATACATTTGATATATACAGCCAATAGTACATATAATAGGAAAAATATATTTCAAAATTAATTTAAATAAAAACATAATTAATGATTGAGTTGTAATTTTTTGTTGATAACTGTAATAATAAAATATATTGAAACAGTTTATGAATTATTTATTAAATTGTAATAATAGTATAGTTAAACCATAAAACTATTACTTTTTTTACGATATATGCTATAGTATTTATATATTATTTTTTACGCAACAATAAAAAATACAATTTACTTTAATAGTTTATATAAATTTATAAATAATTATTTAATCAATAATATTATTTATAGTTAATTATTTTGTTTTTCAATTTTGTATTCAATAACAAAAACAAATTACTATTTATTAAATGTTTAATTTTACTTAATTAATATTATTTTTTACTAATGTATTATTCTATGCTTTATTTTTTTGCTAATTATAAATATTAGTCAATTTTGTTAATTAGTTGTTTTTTAATGAAAAAAATAATTATTATTTTATTGAAAATCTATAAAAATAATTAATTTTTATCACAAGTTATAAGTGTGAAAATATCACTCATACAGTACATGATATTAGTATTTTTTACAATTTAATACTATATTTATTAATATTTAAGTTTCTAATAATTTATAAGTTTATATGTAATATATAATAATATAATTTATATTTTTATTATTTTAAATATTTTTTTTATAAAGAAAATCTTTGCTACAATTTTTAACTTATTATTTTGTATAATATTTTTAGAATATAGTATATAAATATATAATATAAATACAGTATCTATAATATAAGCAATTCATTTAAGTTAAAGTCTATTTTTGATTAATCAATAATTTATTTAACAAACAAAAGACTATTATAATAATACAAAAACAAAATTTTAATGTTTGTTTTCATAGAAAAAACAACAACAAAATTATCAATTTTTCTTAATTGTTATAAAAAATAAATTAATAACAGTTTTGTTAATTATTGTTGTCTAGACATTAGTATTGAATAATACTGTTAATTGTTATTTTTATTGTTTTGAAATACATATTGAAAAACAATTATTATTTTTTATTTTAATTATAGACTACTAAAAAAATAATTATTTTGTTTATTAACAATTTATTTTGTATATATCTATTATAATAGTTATACTAGATAATCAATGTATTGAATATTATAGTATAATATTTTATATACTGTACAACGTTTATATTATGAAAAATTTTCTAATTAATTAATTAGTTAATTATAATAATATAATTATTTTTGTATTATTTAAATTTTGTAATAAATATTTGTCTAAATATATTATCTTCACTTAGTTTAGCAATAATTGATTGTTGAAATAATTGTTTATTAACTATATTAATATAATTAATTTGATCCAGGACAATTTGTGTACACGTGGGTCTAGCAGTGTATTGTATTTGTTTCATTTGTTGGATCAAATTAAACATATTTTCCATATAATATCCAAAACTACTAGTGTTGTAAATGTTAATACTTGCACTATTAAATAAAAAAAATAAAAATTTTAATTTATATTTTTTTTTAATTACAATAGACTTACCCATCAATTGTCGTATCAGTTAAATCAAAGATATCCATTAAAATCATTCCTAGACTATAGACATCACATTTTTCATTATATTTTTGTGTACAGTTGTTGGGATCGGTATTAATCTCTGGCGCTCTATATTTAAGTGTTCCTACATTTGGTGTATGACTTATTGAATGAGTATCCGTACGGATGTGATCAGTGGACAAACCAAAGTCACCTAATTTTATAAACCGATTGGCAATTGGCTTATCATTGATGAGTATGTTTGCAGGTTTGAGGTCGCGGTGAATGACCGGCGGATCTCTTGTATGCAAATATTCAATGCATTCACACATCTCTAGCATTAAATGACTTGTAATGTAATACTCGATACAATCCATCGGTTCATTGGATTGTCTTTGAAATGTTTTTGCCTTCACTTCAATGATATGTTTAAGACTTTGTGAACATAACTCCATTTGAATGAATAGATTGTTGAACTCAAACCACGCGTCCAAACAGTTGACCACATATTGTGACCGAAGTTTCATTAATTGTTTGACTTCTTGAATAACAATTGACTTTTCATTTTCATCTATAATTTTATTAATAGTTAAATAATTTATAATAATTTTATTTTATAATACCGTCTAATATGATATCTTTTATGGCAAACAATCCTTTAGTTTCGTTGTCTTCCACTTCATATACTTTACCATAACTTCCAAAACCCAACATTTTTAGTCGTTTAAAACAATTGATAAAATTATTTTGTTTTTCACTAATTTCTTGAAAATTCTTTACATATAAATCCAAATCAATTGTTTGATAAGTTTTATTGAATTCGGCGGCAAATAAATCATCAAATGATTTGTGATATAATTTTCTTAATTCAATATTTGGTTCATATATTAATTCATAATATTTATCATCTTTTTTAATATAATGACCACAAATATCATCGATTGAATTAACAGAAATAATTTGTTGACTAAAAAATAATTTGTAAATATTTCCGCATTGATATACATATCCATCGTTTGTTAGAAAATATGTTATGAAATATTTTCCGTTAAATGAAATTGATTTTATATTAATTAAATCTGTAATCAGTTCTGGTTTTTTAATTAAGTTTTTTATTTGATTTTTATGTCCCAATTGATTGTATCGATTGTCACCCCAACTGTAAACCAGATTATCATTTGTTATGGCAAACGAAAAGTTTTCAAAACAATAAATTGATTTAATGACAGTAATTGTGGGAAATATACAACAAATCGGACTATTGATCCAATTTTTTTGTTGTGTACCACAACCGCACTGTCCATACGTGTTAAGACCCCATCCATAGACAGTGCCATCACTGCTTAGGGCCAGTGAATGATGTGAACCACTGGTGATATCAATAATACATTTATCGCTGAGGTATGTAATGATTGCTGGTTTGCTGTACTTATCATCATTGATGGCATGTCTACCCAATTGTCCCAACAATTTTCGACCCCAACTATAAACTTGTTGATCGCTTGTTAAACACAATCCAATATCATTTCCGATACTAAATTTGCTAATCATTTTGTAACATAATTCCGGTATCACTTGTGGTTTATTATATATTTCATTGTTATGACCCAAACCAAGTTTGCCTCTAATATTTAGACCTATTGTTAGGACCCAATCATCAATTGTTATAAACCACATGTGTTTAGCCGTACAATGAATTAGTTTTATATCGTAATTATTTAGTTGTAATTTTTTATATATATTTAAAGTATTTTTTAGCTCTAATTCACTAACATTTCCAAACAGTTTACTATAATTAACTAAATCTACAGATTGTTTAGTTATTTGATGTTTTTTGGCATAAATGTCGATAAAGTTTTCATAATTTTCTAATTCCTGTGTTTTAACAAATATTTCATTGAATTTATAAACTAATTCATAATAATTGCTATCTTTTTCCACAATATTATCGCAAATGTTTGTAATATTATTCAATTTATATAATATATTATTGATTGAATCGCTATATAATTTTCCGCATTGATAAACATAACCATCATTTCTATGCAAATATGTCATGAATATTGATTGTAAATAATTTCGTTTAAACGATATATTTATTATTGAAGTTATATTACTAATTAATTCCGGTTTTATAAAATTATTATTAATTTTATGTCCCAATTGATTGCATCGATTATTACCCCAACTATATACTAGTCCATCACTAGTTATGGCAAACGATGACAATTCAAAGCAATAAATTGATTTAATTACCGTATTTTTATGAAATATAATACGAGTCGGTCTATCAATAGTATTGCTTAGTTGTCCGTCACAACCGCACTGTCCGCTACTGTTATGACCCCATCCATAGACATTGCCATCACTGCTGAGGGCCAGTGAATGATGTGAACCACTGTTGATATCAATAATACATTTATCGCTGAGTAGTGTAATGATTGCTGGTTTACTGTACACATCATCATCACTGATGATGGTATGTCTACCTAATTGTTGATAATTATTTGTACCCCAACTATAGATTTGTTGGTCACTTGTTATACACAATACAAAATCATTTCTAATAATAAATTTCTGAACATTTTTCTGACATAATTCAGGTATAACTTCGGGTTCATTGACTGTATTGTTGTTGTGACCCAAACCAAGTATACCATTCCTGTTATCCCCTAATGTATAGACGAGATCATCAATTGATGTCACAAACCATACACTTTTGCCGTCGCAATGAAATCGTTTGATTTTACACTTTAAATATTGCGGTATTTTAGCACTTATTGTAAATTTATTTAACAATTCAATTGATGACATTTTTATTTAATAAAATTTATAACTTAATTTCATATTTAAAAAAAACATATTAATACTACTTTTTACTACTTATTATTGTTATTAATGTATTTTGTTTTGTAAAAAAATAATATTTAATAATTCTATGGTAATTATCTAATCATATTAATTGTAACAATAGTTTAAATAATATACACTATTAATGTTGTTAATTAATAATATTGTAATATTACTTTTTTTAATATTTATAAAAATGCAATAATTTCTATACTATTGCAATGTTTATATAATGTTCAATGTCTGCTATATTTACATTATCTTAAATATTTATTAACCTTGAAAATTTACTATGTGCTTTTTTTAAACATACTACAGTATATGTGTTTTAGATTTTTTTTAATAATAATAATAATAACACAATTTAAAAAAAATAAAATTAACATTATTAATTATTAGAAGTAATATTATACATATATACATATACATATTACACAGTATATATATATACATTAAAATTAAAGTAATAAAATATAAACTATGAATAATAAAATATTTTAAAAATTATTTTATTTCATTATATTACAATATATTAATAATTTATTATTAAAAATATATTTTTTTATTTAATAACATATTTTCGATTATAGTTAAATCATTTGCTATATATTTACTATTACTTCTCAGTTAACTCTCATTAATATAAAATTTTGTAATAAATATTTGTCTAAATATATTATCATCGTTTAGTTTAGTAGCAACAATTGATTGTTGAAATAATTGTCTATCAACAATATTAATATAATTAAGTTGATCCAGGACAATTTGTGTACACGTAGGTCTTGCAGTGTATTGCAATTGTTTCATTTGTTGGATCAAATTAAATATATTTTCCATATAATATTGAATACTACTAGTGTTGTAAACGTTAATACTTGGACTATTAAATAAAAAATAATAAAGATTTTAATTTAGATTTTTTTTTAATATAATAAACTTACCCATCAACTGTAATATTATTTAAATCAAAAATATCCATTAAAATCATTCCTAGACTATAGACATCACATTTTTCATTATATTTTTGTGTACAGTTGTTGGGATCGGTATTAATCTCTGGCGCTCTATATTTAAGTGTTCCTACATTTGGTGTATGACTTATTGAATGAGTATCCGTACGGATGTGATCAGTGGACAGACCAAAGTCACCTAATTTTATAAACCGATTGGCAGTTGGCTTATCATTGATGAGTATGTTTGCAGGTTTGAGGTCGCGGTGAATGACCGGTGGATTTCTTGTATGCAAATATTCAACGCATTCACACATCTCTAGCGTTATATGACTTGTAATGTAATACTCGATACAATCCATCGGTTCATTGGATTGTCTTTGAAATGTTTTGGCTTTCATTTCAATGATATGTTTAAGACTTTGTGAACATAACTCCATTTGAATGAATAGATTGTTGAACTCAAACCACGCATCCAAACAGTTGACCACAAATTGTGACCGAAGTTTCAACAATTGTTTGACTTCTTGAATAACAATTGATTTTTGATTTTCATCTATAAATAAAAAATAATTAGTAACAGATAGTAAACTATTAATTTAATTTTCATTATACCTTCTAATATAATATCTTTTATGGCAAATAATTCATTAGTTTCTTTGTCAACCACTTTATAAACTTTTCCATAACTTCCAAAACCCAACAGTTTAAGTGTTTGAAAACAATTCAATAAATTATTTGGTTTATCATTGATTTCTTGATAATTATTAATATAAAAATCTAAATCAATTGTTTGATAAGTTTCTAAGCATTCGCTGGCAAATAAATCATCAAATGATTTGTATAATAATTTTCTTAATTCAATATTTGGTTCATTAGTTATTTCATAATATTTATTATCAGATTTTTTTATATAATTACCGCAAATATCATCGACTGAATAAATGGTAATAATTTTTGTTGGATTACTGATTAACATATTATTTATTTTTCCGCATTGATATACATTTCCATCAATAGTTAGAAAATATGTTATTGACTTTTTATTTACATTGAATGTAATAGTTTTTATATCAATTAAATCCATAATCAATTGTGGTTTTATATAATTAATATTAATATTATTTTGATGTCCCAATTGATTATCATTATTGTTACCCCAACTGTAAACCAATCCATCACTAGTTATGGCAAATGAACACCAATTGTATGAATAAATTGATTTAATGATAGTATTTGCGGGAAATATAACACAAGTCGGACTATCAATATATTTCATTAGTTGTCCGCAACCGCACTGTCCGTATAGGTTATGACCCCATCCATAGACAGTGCCATCACTGCTGAGGGCCAGTGAATGATGTGAACCACACGTAATATTAATAATACATTTATCGCTGAGGTATGTAATGATCGCTGGTTTACTGTACTCATCATCACTGTTGGTATGTCTACCCAATTGATTGCAATCATTCAAACCCCAGCTATATATTTGTTGATCACTTGTTATACACAATACAAAATCATATCCAATAATAAATTTCTGAACATTTTTCTCAAACAATTCAGGTATAACTTCGGGTTCATTGATATCTATGTTGTGACCCAAACCAAGTATACCACACTTATTATCGCCCAATGTATAGACCCGATCATCAATTGTCACAAACCATATACTGTCGCAATCGAAATGAATTAATTTGATTTCATCGATATTTTGTTCAAATTGTTTTATATTAGATTTAATTATCAATTGTAATGCCCTATTATTTCCATAAAGTTGACTATATTTTCGTATATCTAATGATTTGATAGTTTGCTGATGTTTTTCGACAAAAATATCCATAAAATTTATATAATTTATTTGATATGTTTTCACATATTTTTCATCTAAATTATATAACAATTCATAATAATTATTATTATCTTTTTGAACATAATTACAACAAATATCTGTAATATTATTGTATTTGTAAATTACATTTAAATCACTAAATAGTTCACCGCATTGATAGACATATCCATCATTATTAAGAAAATATGTATTATTATTATAAAATGAAACAATTTTTATATTCTGTATATTCTGAATCAATTCTGGTTTAAAAAATTTTAATGTATTTTTATGTCCCAATTGATTGTTATGATTGTCACCCCAACTGTATACGAGTCCATCACTTGTTATGGCAAATGAATAGTTAAAGTATGAATAAATTGATTTAATTAAAGTATTTGTAGGAAATATAACACGAGTTGGACTACGAATATATTGAGTTTGTTGTCCGCAACCGCACTGACCGTCATTGTTATGACCCCAACCATAGACAGTGCCATCACTGCTGAGGGCCAGTGAATGATCCCAACCACTGGTGATATCGATAATACATTTATCGCTGAGGTATGTAATGATAGCTGGTTTGCTGAACTTATCATCACTGATGGTATGTCTACCCAATTGTTTTAATATATTTGAACCCCAGCTATATATTTGTCGGTCACTTGTTATACACAATACAAACGAATTTCCAATAATAAATTTCTGAACATTTTTCAGACATAATTCAGGTATAACTTGTGGTTCATTGATATCTATGTTGTTGTGACCCAAATCAAGTAAACCCCACTTGTTATCACCCAATGTATAGACGAGATCATCAATTGTTACAAACCATATACTATTGCCTTCACAATGAAATCGTTTGATTTTACATTTTAAATGTTGCGGTATTTTAGCACTTATTCTAAATTTATTTAACAATTCAATTGATGACATTATTATTCAATAAAATTTATAACTTATTTAAAATACAAATATATTTATTAGTATATTGTTATGTATTTTGTTTTGTCAAAAATAATTATATGATAGTAATTAACTCATCATAATTTTTTTAAAAATATATTTGAAACAATAGTTGAAATACTATTAAGTATTAATGTTGTTAATTAATAATATTGTAATATTACTACTGTATTAAAAAAGTATTAATAAAAGTATGCAATATTACTATACTGTATACAATGTTTATATTATTGAATTTATTAAATGTCTGCTATATTTACATTATCTTAAATTTAGCACAATTTATTAACCTTGAAAATATACTATTTGAGTAAAAACATATAATATGTGTTTTAATTTTTTATTATAAAAAATTAATATCACAATTTTTAAAAAAATAAAACTAAAAATTAGCATTATTAATTATAAGAATATTAATTAGAATAAAATATAAACTATGAAAAAATTATATATATATTTTTGTGAAATTATTTAGTTAAACATTATTATTTATTGACATATTTTTTTTAATTAATTATATGTTAAATATCATATTTACTACTACTTCGATATTATCAAATAATAGGTAGTTTGAACTCAATTTTTTTTGTCCTAACAATTTGATAACAGTATTAATAAACAACTTTTTTTTCTAAACATATACTACAATATATTTTCACATTTAATATACTGATAGAAAATTATGATAAACTTTATGTATTTATTTATCATAACTTCTCATATGTTTTACGACTATATCGGTCTATCCATAGGTTTCATTGATTTCCTTAAAAATTCTTGACATATAAATCACAAAACAATTGTTTGAAAAGTTTTATTGAATTCGACGGCAAATAAATCATTAAATGATTTGTAATTAAATTTTCGTAAATCAATATTTGGTTCATAAGTTAATTCATAATATTTATCAACAATTTTCATATAATGACCGCATATATCATCCACTGATGAATTGATTAATAGTTTTGTTGGATTAATAAATACTGTTTCATCTATTCTTCCGCATTGATAAACATTTCCATTAGTTGTTAGAAAATATGTTATAAATAGTTTAGTATTGAATGAAATGCTTATAATATTAATTAAATCAGTTATTAATTCTGGTCTCCAAACTATGTTTGTTTTGTTTGTATTTTTATGTCCCAATTGATTGTTATGATTGTCACCCCAACTGTAAACCAGTCCATCACTAGTTATGGCAAATGAACACCAATTGTAACAATAAATTGATTTAATTACAGTATTTTCTGGAAATATAATACGAGTCGGTGTTTCAATTTGATTGGTTTGTTGACCGCAACCGCACTGTCCGTTTAGGTTATCACCCCAACCATAGACAGTGCCATCACTGCTGAGGGCCAGTGAATGATGAAAACCACTGGTGATATCAATAATAGATTTATCGGTCGGGAATTCAATGATATCTGGTTTGCAGTACTTATCACTGGTATGTCTACCCAATTGTTTGACTCTATTCCGACCCCAACTATATATTTGTTGATCACTTGTTAAACATAATCCAAATTCGTTATCAAAAACAATTTTTTTAAGATTTTTTGCACACAATTCCGGTATAATTTGTGGTTCACTGATATCATTGTTGTGACCCAAACCAAGTTTTCCTCTATGATTATCACCCAATGTATAGATGAGATCATGAATTGTTGAAAACCATACACTATTATCATTGCAATGAATTAATTTGATTTGATTGACATTAGTTTGTTTGAGTTTTATATTAAGTTTGTTTTGAAAAATATTCAAATTAGATATCAATTGTAATTGACTAGTATTTCCATACAATTCACTATAATTTTTCAAATCTAATGTTTCAATTGTTTTGTTATGTTTTTCGGCAAATATATCCATAAAATTTCTATTATTATTTAATTCAATAATTTTAACCAATTTTTCTTCATAATTATGTATAAATTGATAATAATTATTAGTATTATTATTATCTTCTAATTCAATAAAATCTTCGCAAATATTTTTAATATTATTGTATTTTTCAATTCTAGTGAATTCATTGTAATATTTTCCGCATTCATAAACATATCCATTAGTATTAAGTAAATATATAATATTATTATCAAACATTTTATTATTATTACTAAACGATATATTCTGTATATTCTGTATATTATTAATCAATTTTGGTTTCAATAATTTTTCAATAATATTTTTATGTCCCAATAGATTGTCTCTATTGTTACCCCAACTGTAAACCAATCCATCACTAGTTATGGCAAATGAACTCCAATTGTAACAATAAATTGATTTAATTACAGTATTTTCGGGAAATATAACACAAATAGGACTTTCAATATATTCAGTTTGTTGTCCGCAACCGCACTGTCCTAACGAGTTAAGACCCCATCCATAGACAGTACCATCGCTGCTGAGGGCCAGTGAATGATGTAAACCACTGGTGATATCAATAATACGTTTATCGCTCAGGAATGTAATGATTGCTGGTTTATGAAACTTTACATCACTACTACTAGTAGTAGTAGTAGTGGTTATATTTCTACCCAATTGTTTGCATGAATTCATACCCCAGCTATAGATTTGTTGATCCCGTGTTAAACATATTAGAAAATTAAATCCATTAATAAATTTTTGTACATTTTTCTCACATAATTCGGGTATAACTTCCGGTTCATTGACAGCTATGTTATGACCCAAACCAAGTTTACCGCACGTATTATTACCCAATGTATAGACCCAATCATCTAATGTTATAAACCATACACTTTTGTTAATGCAATGAAAACTTTTGATTTTATTTAGGAAATGTTCCGCTATTTTATTATCACTAATTATTTTAAATTTATTTAACAATTCAATTGATGACATTTTTTTTAGTTTATTTTTGTTGTTGTTATTAAAAATTATTTTTAAATAGTTTCAAAATAAGCAAATAGTTACTATTATTAATGTTTTTATTTGCGATTAAATAAAACATACATTTTTAGCATAACTATTACATAATGATTGCCAAACAATTCAATTCAAATGAGCATAAATAACGTCAAATAATTTTTACATTTAATAATACAGTGAAATAGTAGTAATTATACAGTATTATATAATCAGATTTTTAAGGATAAAATAATATTTTAGAAATATAATTATAGTAATAATATATTGAATATAATTTTAATAATACCAATATTTTTAAATATAAATTATATATGTTATTATTAATGATAATATACTCTGTTTTTAGTTAAATTAAAAAAGTTTAAATTAAATAACAATAAGCATATAATTTGATAAGCAATAACATTCAATAATAATTGTAATGTTTTCTATTTTAAATTGATTTTTCTAATTTTCTAATTAAAAAAATACAATCTTTTAAATCATACTATTATATAAAAATATAAACCTATTAATCAAATTTAAAATATGCATATAATAGACAATATTAGAAAGTGTTAATACTGTAATAATTAAACTATTTTTCTAACATTTTATCGATTTTTGAAAAAAATATTTGTCTAAAAATACTATTTGTATTATTTATTTCTATTATTTTAAATTGATTAATCAATTTTGTGTCAATTAATTCGTAATTAACATATTGTGAATTATCCTTGATAATTTCAGTACACGATGGTCTATCATAATAACTTGATTGTAACATTGATGATATTAATTTGGAAATATTCTTAATATAAACGTTTAAATTTTGATGACAATACAAGTCTTCAAATTTTCTGAATAAATAATTTTTATATTTTAAAAATAAGTTAATTAATGTTTATTTTTTGAATCAAACTTTATTAGTATACCTGAAATCATTATCAATGTTGACATCAAATAAGTCCAATAAGATTACACCCATACTATAGATATCGCTTTTCTCATTATATGCTACTCTATTGACGATACCATTATCATCTATGACTTCGGGCGCCATATATTTCACTGTTTCGACATTTTTGGTGTGTAATTCCGATTGAGAGTCCAAACGATTGTGATTTATGGCTAAACCAAAGTCACATAATTTTATGAATCTATTATCCGTTGGCTTATCGTTGATGAGTATGTTTGCAGGTTTGAGGTCGCGGTGAATGACCGGCGGATGTCTTGTATGCAAATATTCAACGCATTCACACATCTCTAGCATTAAATGACTTGTAATGTAATACTCGATACAATCCATCGGTTCATTGGATTGTCTTTGAAATGTTTTTGCCTTCACTTCAATAATATGTTTAAGACTTTGTGAACATAACTCCATTTGAATGAATAGATTGTTGAACTCAAACCACGCGTCCAAACAGTTGACCACAAATTGTGACCGAAGTTTCAATAATTGTTTGACTTCTTGAATAACATTTAATTTTTGATTTTCATCTAAGAGTAAAATATATTAATTATTATTATTAATTTATTTTTCAAATTTCATTATACCGTCTAATATAATATCTTTTATGGCAAACAATACTTTGGTGTCTTTGTCTTCTACTTTGTATACCTTTCCATAACTTCCCGAACCCAACAGTTTAAGTGTTTTAAAATAATTTAATAAATTATTTGGTTTATCATTGATTTCTTGATAATTCTTGACATATAAATCCAAATCAATTGTTTGATAAGTTTTATTGCATTCGACGGCAAATAAATCATCAAAACATTTGTAATATAATTTTTTTAATTCAATATTTGGTTCATAAGTTAATTCATAATAATTATCAATCTTTTTGATATAATGACCGTACATATCATCGACTGAATTAATAGAAGTTATTTTTAAAACTCATTTTATCTCTGCTTCCGCATTGATAAACATTTCCATCATTTGTAAGAAAATATGTAATAAACAAATTATATTGTAACCCCAGCTATATATTTGTTGATCACTTGTTATACAAAATGCAACAAATGCTTCGATAATAAATTTCTGAACATTTTTCTGACACAATTCAGGTATAACTTCGGGTTCATTGATATCTATATTGTGACCCAAACCAAGTATACCATTCCAGTTAAGACCCAATGTATAGACATAATCATCAATTGTCACAAACCACACACTTCTGTCATTGCAATGAAATCGTTTGATTTGATTTTTAAAATTAGATATTTTGTCACTTATTTTAAATTTAGCTAACAATTCAATTGAAGACATTTTATATTTAAAGAATATTACTTTAAATGAATAATTTTTTTTAAAAAATAATTTCTAATTTGATTTTTTTTATTAAAGACAGATATACTTATTATTTTATTAGTATTTAGTTGTATAATATATTAATTCTATGGTAATTATCTCATATATGATAAGCGCTTGTATTCAGCGATATCTAATAAATTGTTTTAATTAAATATTGTTATAAAAAATAATATTAAAACATTTAATATATATTAGGATATATATATTGAACATAATGTAAACTATCCAATATAAATTGATAAATTATTATTATTATACATTCCTTTATATTATTATTTATATTTACATAATAAATAAATTAACTTATTATTGTTTAAAAAATAAAAATAACATTTATTGTAATTAGATTTAAATATTTTTAGAGAGAGAGAGAGAGAAAGTAAATAAAAAATTAGATTATTAAAATTATTATAACATTATTTATAAATAACCAAATTTAGTAATAAATATTTGTCTAAATATATTGTCATCGTTGAGTTGAGCAACAATTGATTGTTGAAATAATTGTTTATTAACTATATTA